AAGTTGACAGGAACCACAGGTGTTTGTTTCAACATTTTTCATAAATTGAAAAACATAGGAAAGCACTTTTGAATAAGTATTTCCTAGTTTATTTTGAACACAAGCAAACAGAATATTAACGCAAATAAATCTGAAAAATACTTCCTGTCTTCTCAACTCCCAAATAAAGCTGTTTTGCAAAAACAGTACTTTTAGATACGTTAAAATACCTGTTCCTTAGTACTTCACAGTTGATGAACTAGGGCTGTGCCATGTTACTAACTAAGCAGCACTGGCAGTTTCCAGAGCAGAACATGTATAAAAGTTATTGTAAGACTGTAAGCTGCAGCAGGGACATTTCCCAAAGAGTTTCTTAAAACAGAATTTTTTTGGGGGGAGGGGGACAGTACTGGGGTTTGAGCTCAGGGCTGCGAGTTTGCTAGGCGGGCACTCTACCACTTGAACCACACTTTCAAGTCCATTTTGCTCTGGTTATTTTGGAGATGGAGTCTCTTGAATTACTTGCTAGGGCTGGCCTCAATTTCAGTCTCCCAAGTATCCAGGATTACAGGCGTGAGCCACCGGTGCTGGCCCGATTGATTTTTTTTTGATGTCCTCTGTTTTCTTTTTTCTCCTCTTCTAGACCTCCAAATACTGGAGACTTCGGGGTTGGGGAGAGGGAAGGATGTTGGTCCTAGGTCCTGTTCTTTCTATATTCTTCCTGGGCAATTCCATTCATCTTTATGGCTTTAAATGTTAACTTTAATATTAACCATAAATACTTATGATTCTCAATTTGTATCTCTCCTCTCAGGTTCAAATCTACATAACCAACTGCTTTCTTACTATCTCCATACAAAAGACCCACCGGCATCTTGAACCTAACAGTTTCAAAATGAAAAAGTAACTCCCACTTTCCCCTACCCCAAATTTATTCTTTCCTAAACCAATAATTTACTACTGCTCTCATCTACTCTGCTGTATAAACCAGAACCTAAAAGTGATCCTTGATAATTCCCTCATTCCCAACACAAAAGCCATTATTAGGTTTTTTGGTTCTACTTCCAAAACTTTTCTTGACTCTATCCAATTGTCTCCAACTCCACTGACATTTCTTTTTATTCAAAACTCTTGTTGCAGTTTGTAACTATGTATTTATGAGTCATTTTTCTTAATGTCTGTCTCCCCCACTACAATGTAAGTTTCATGAGGGCAGGAACCATGCCAATTCACTGCAGGAGACCAGGATCTGTGCCAACAGAGTAGATACTCAATTAATATTTATTTTGTGAATGAATGAATCTTTGTATAGAAATGATGTTAGGGAAAGCAAACCAACCCATGAAGGGTCTGCTGACCAGCAGGACTTCAAACACTGAACTGGTGATGTGGTGGTCCCTAATTTTTGTTTAAAAAGACTCACTTGGAGAACTTTAATCTTATAGAACCCCTATTGAATACAAAAGGCTTATTTATTATTTCTTTGAATAAATAACTGGGAAAAAGAATGAAGAGGTCTGTAAGTGAAGTAGGGAGTTTAAATAAACATAGATTGTTCTCAGTGGGCTTTAGATCCCACTACAGAAATAGCAAACAAGCTTTGACATTTTTGCTGCTTCTACCAGCCTGCTGTTATTGGCTATTAAAAAGTATATAAAACTATATAATGCATTTGTGCATACATGTACACACACACAGGCTCTAAAGCAGTTCATTCTAAATCACAATTCAGGTCTGATCACTTACTGAATTCTAAGCGTTTAAGGATAGAAATGACGGAGTCAACTGCCTCTAAAAACCCTCTAAAAACGGAAGAAATGCAATTCATACATCTTTATCTTGGAAAAGCTTTTTTTTTCCCTGTGCTGCTGGGGATGGAAACCATGGCCTTGTATGATTTCAAATTCCTTTGAGTAGGAGGGCTCAACAATGTGAAACACTGTTCTCAATAGTTCCTTGACACATTCTGTTGTATAACATTAAGAATTTTAGAATTAAAGGCTAGATGTGGTGGTGCACACCTATAACTCCAGCACTCAGGAGGGTGAAACAGGAGGATCTCAGAGTTGCAGAACCAGCCTGGGTTACAAAGTGAGTTCCAGGCCAGTCTGGGCTACATTAGTTAGATTCTGTGGCAAAACCAAAAAGAAACAAAATCTTAGAGCTAAGCAAGATCCAGGAGGATAGTTCAACCCATAGATTAAGAAATAAAGAGAGCCAGGAAAGGAAAATGACTTGCTTAAACACACAAAGGCAATTTTACAAAATGACTAAAATACCTCTACTTAGTTTTTCATAAATTATGCCCCTGGCTTTAAGAAACACACATTTGCATTCTAAAAACTGCTATTCACACATCTTTATACTGCTTTCATCCAACTTGCTTTGGTGAATTCTACCTAACCAACATATCTATTTGAAGGAAACGGGATATGGCTAATGACTGAAATCTTATACACCTGGCACTTTAAATGCACTGTCATCTTATCTTTACAATCCTCTTAAGGTTCTACCTTACCAAATGAGGAAAGTGAAGACTCAGACTATCTAATTTTCCCAAAGTGATTAAGTAGTATTCCAGGTCTCACTCAAAGCTCACATCTGGCCCCTATCTAACTACTGACATCACTAATGAATACTAAATCTCTCTCTTTTTTTCTCTGTCTCTTGGTTTGCTCACTGTGTATTTCAAAAGCAGAATCACAATTTCCTGCTAAAAATCTTTTAAAACCAACAACTGTTTACATCTCTATTACCCTGGGCTTGGACTTATCTGAATAGAAAAATGATGTATGAATTATACAGTCTTTCATCAGACAAAAATTATTATATTTTTGGTCCGGTGAAATTATTATATTTTTGGGACAAATATTCCCAAAAAAAGCTCAACAGAAAAATCTAGAATTGTAGGCCCAGGAGGCACAAAATGAACAAAAGAGAGATCCATGCCATTTCTCATTACCACCAAGTTAGAGATCTTGCAAATCTTATTTACTCTCTAGACCCTTCCAGGCAACAAAATGAGCAACAATTACCTCATTGGAACTGAATCCATCATTTGCAGCCAGAGACACTTTCCCATGTAGAACTGTATCAGTCACCTCTTTTATTCCAAATGCTGAAGAATCAAGGTCTTCCTTGACCCACATTCCAGTGGGGGACACTTCCTCAAGAACAGGGGCTGCTTCTTCTGAGACAGGCATTGAATCAGCATGGGCAGTACCTCCCAGAAAGGGTTCACTAGGGGTGAACACTTCCTCCATAGCAGGCACTTCAGCAGTAGACACACTAGCAGCTACAGTTTCAGGCTCCTTTGGTGTGGGCCCTACAGTAGCTGGGGCAGCAGGCTCCTCTGGGGTGGATGCTGTATGCGTTGGAGGACCAGGCTCCTCTGAGGTGGGCACTGCAGCAGCTGGGTAGACAGACTCCTCTAGGGTGGTAGACCCTGCAAGGTCTAGGATGGCAAGCACCTTTAGGGCAGTAGGCCCTGCAAGATCTGCAGTGGTAGGCTCCTCTGGGGTGGCAGGCCCTGGAAGACTTGGGGTGGCAAGCTCCTCTGGGACAGTGGGTCTTTCAAAATCTGGGGTGGCAGGTTCCACTGGGATGGCAAGCAACTCTGGGGCAGTGGGTCCTGCAAGATCTGGGGAGGCAGTTTCCTTTGGGATGGCAGGCACCTCTAGGGCAGTGGGCCCTGCAAGATCTACAGTGGCAGGCTCCTCTAGGGTTGTAAGCCCTGCAAGATGTGGGGCTGATGCTGTAGCAGCTGGAGTGGCAAGCCCTTTTGGGGTATCATCCTCCTGTACGATGGGCACTGCAACAGCTGGAGTAGTCTTCTCTGGGGAAGACCCTACAACAGCTGACGCTTCCTCTCTGTGATGGCTACTGCAGCAGCTGGAGCAGTCCCCACTGGGGAGGACACTGCAGCAACCAGAACGGTCCCTTTGGGAGCAGGATCTACAACAGCTGAAGCGGCAGCCCCCTCAGAGGCTGACACTGCAGCAGCTGGGATATGTGTCTCTATGGTGGCCACTGAAGGAACTGGGATGTCCTCTTCTTGGAAGAACCCTATAGCAGCTGCTGAGGCAGCAGACTCCTCTGGAGCAGGTACTGCAACAACTGGGATGTCTTCTTCTAGGGTAGGCACTGAAGCATCTAGGGCATCTTCTGCAATGAGCACTGCAGCAGTTGGGGTAGGTTTCTGTTGGTTGGGTATCCATCCCTCTAAAACTGGTTTAGTATTACTAGCTTTGGTAAATTGTTCCTCTGTAAAGACATTCATGGTTGAATTAGAATCTCTTGTTTCCACCTCTTCTCCCTGTGATGATGCCATGTTTGGCCTAGGCTTTAAATCATTCATAGTTTCCATTCCATCTCTACTATATCTTAGTTCTCCAGATAGCAGGTGTAGACTCAGAACCTCTGACTCTGGAGACTTCTTCTGGAAATCCTGGAAGACTTGTTTTGGGAAGTCTCGCTTTGGGAAGTCTCTATGAAAATGCACTGGGGTTCCATTTCTCAAAAGGTTGGCTTGACAATACAGCTCTTTTGCCTCACCGTCCTTATTATAAACTTTCTCCATGGACAATTCACAAGGATCAACATTTCCCAAGGATGTCAGACTGTTATATTCTTGATTAATAGCTCCTTTCTCACTTTCCAAATGAATCTCATCTGTTAATAAATTTGTATCAGACACTAACACCTCTACTTCAGGTCCTGAGATAACATCTTTTAGTTCAGAGTTAAAAGCAAAATTGAGGGGGACCCTCTCAATACACTCCTCCACATTCCCCTCAGTTTGACTGCAGTCTATCTGGGACAAGTTGCCATTTTCTTTGGCCAGCTCAGAAGTTATAAAGACTGATAGTTTTTCTTCACAAGAAGCCCTGTGTTCAGAGTTCAGCAATCCTCCTGTGTCCAGCTCTCCCAACAACTCCAGATCAGCTGGAGACTTAAACTTCCCCCCAGTCTTGGGGCTAAAAGGCACTTTTTCAAACTCCTTGCTAACCATGGACATGTCCCTCATGTTATCAGAGTAGGCAATAAGTTCCTTAGCATTAGGCACCTGAGAAGAATCCAGGACATTAAAATATTTACAATCCAATCCAGTATTAAGGTCCGTTACCTTTAAAAGGTCTTTATGCTGTTCCTTTTCTAAGGTAGCCCCTGGAAAATGACTAATTACAAGTGAATTTTCTGCATCCTGGGATGGGGCCAGCCCTTCATAAGAGGCTTGACTCTGCAGCTCAACTAAAGGAGTTACTCCCTCATATAAACACTCCTTTTCAAGCTCAAGAAACATCTGCACTGAATCTGTGTCAGAGAGTTGCTCTGCATCAACAGGACCAAAAATACATTCTAGTTCAGAAACAAGACCCTGTGATCCCTGAGCAGTTCTGTTTTCCACATCACCAACAGCACCCTCACCTGCAAGAACACAGCAATCCAGGGGTGTATCCTTGGGAACAGAAGTCAACTGATCCCTAACTGGCGGTGGGTCATTAGAGCAACAAATCTGACCAATAGGTACATGGTCCAAAGTCTCCAAGACAGCAACTAAACAATCGGCTCCATCTTCCACCACTGTTACTGTGTTTGCTAGTTCTCTTTCTTCAAAAATATCTGCCAGACTGTTCTTCTCATCTGCCATTAAAAGAGTCTTTCCTCTCTCTGACAATTTATCTTCCTCCCATTCCTCCTCACCCTCCATCATGATCCATCGTTCATCCTCCTCAAACTTTAGCTCAGACTCTGTTTTCTCTCTCAGGTTGGGGGTTATGAGAATGTGCATTTCTGGATCCAACAGCTCTTCACTCAGGCAAGGGGAGAGAGGCGGCATTTCCACAGTGCAGACTGTGTCCCCAACGTGGTGCTGCTTCTCACTGAAGCCTCCCTTAGCTGAACTTTTCATGGCCCTGGGCCAAGTTGCGCTTGAGAATCTGTGTTCCTGCATTTCATCTGTGTTACCACTTGATGCAGCAGCTTCTGATTCCAGAGGCTGGAATTCATGGGGAGAGCTCTCACTGTGCTGCTGGAATCTGAAGTCCTGGCAGTCTCCAATTAAGTTTTTCACATCTTGTATTTCAGGAATACCTACAGATCTGGATACATGTTCCAAAGTTACCGATTCTGACTGAGGTTCCCTGTGGTCCAAATGACCAGAACTTTCTGTCAATGCAGAACTGGGTTCTTTCTTCTCTTGCAAGGAAGGATTTGAAGCACCAGCTTCTGAAACTTCACTGAGAGAAGCTTCCATCCTTTCTGCAAATTCTGGGAAGTTAGGCGGCATGAAGGACTTCCACGATCTCCTGTTAACATTGTCTTTGCGCTCTGCATTTGGCCGCCTTCTGGGTGGCACAGGTGCTGACTTCTGCACATCACTGCTTAGCTTTAAGGCATCAAATATTATTCTCTCATCCAGCTTTTTGCCTTCAGGTGCTCTAGATTCAAAAACATTAGATGCTCCTCCTAATGTACCATTGCTAGATATGGTACTTCCTTCTACCTTCTCCATGGTACTTTTTGAAGCCTGATTAAGCTTTGACCCCTGATCAATCTGTTCATTTATCCTCATTGTATCATATATAGACCGCTGTGGAACATAGCAATCTTCTATGTAGCCGTCCTCCTCCTCCCCTTTCCCCAGGCAGGTGGGGTTCCGCCTTAAACAGTCTGGCCTGCTGAGCGGCTTACCCATACTTTTTCAATCAAGATAAGCTTTCAATCTTTCAAAAGCCTTTTCACAGGTTCCCCCAAAATGCATTCTAAATAAGTTATAAATCCTTTTACATGTTTGTACTCCAAACCACCAATTGCATCTGCCTTCCAGAAAAGACCTGAGAGTTCCATTTTGAAACCATTTTGGGAGAAGCTCTAAGACAAACAGCTTTTTCCTCACAGGCTAGCAGCCTCATAGTTGTGGATAAATGGTAAAATTTAATCAACAAGCATAAAGTAATTCTTGTATGGCTTCTGGTTTTATTTTTAAATGGCAATGCTTTTTCGAATTCAGTCAGCAAAAATCATTTGATATTGACAAGTCTTATTCAATATCTAGCTGCATTCACTTCTTGCCCAGAGTTGGAAGCAGTGAATTTATACTGACTGTGTCCTTAACAATGGCACAGCCTCTCTAGTCTTCAAGTATGGTCCAAGCTCCTAAGAATTCCTTTCATTTTATCCTCTGTTCAGCTCTAGAGTCCAGCTGGTCTGAATTAGCCACTCGTCCTCCCTAGTTGGGGGTGTTTGCATTTGAACTGGGCCGGTCGGCGGATATTCCTGCAACTTTAAACACAGGAAGTCCTTCATTCGGGGCCAGCTTGGAGCTTCCTGTCTCCAAAACATCATGGCATTGTTGTGGCTCCCAGGCCAACACTGCGCGGTGGCCGCAAACAAGTCGCGTGAAGCCCCGCGCCGGGCCTTTCAGAAGCCAGCAGGCTGCAGTAGCGGCCAGGGGCTGCCGGAGGCTTGCTCAGCACCGCCCGCTCCCCCGCGCCGTGCCGCGCGCCCCGCGGACCAGGATTGCCTCACCGCAGGCTGGCAGGTGGCTCCCGGCCGCGCCGGCCTCAGGTCCCGCACTCAGGAAGTTAGTTTGTCTCTCCGGCAGCTGAGTCTCGAGTGTCGTGGGCGCCGCTTGCCCCGCCGCCGCCAATTCCCGGCCCGCAGCCGCCGCGCCGTGGGCTGCATGATAAGCAGCCGCCTCTATTCACCGCGCCGCCAGCCCCGCGGCCCCGCCGTCCTCCCTGCCCGCAGCTGTCACGGTCCCGGCATGCAAACTTCTGGCTGGGAACAAAAGGCTCCGCTTGGGCCAGGAGGGGGGCGAGCTGGCCTCCCTCGCACCGCGCGGCCGGTTCGCTCACCGCTCGCTGGAAGTGCTTGGCTGGCGGGCGGCTCTCCTCCCCCTTCCCGCGCCGCCGCCGCCCCGCCCGGGCAGCCCCCCTAGAAGCAGGGGAGCGCGCGGTGCTGAGAGCCAAGGGGCGGAGGGGGCGGGGCCCACAGGGGGCGTGGCCGGGGAAAAGGAGCGATCCGAGGAGACGGCAGAGATGATTGGAGGCCGAGCCGCTGAAGGAGGGGCTTCTGCTGGGTTCGGACCGAGAGACCCCAGGCGCCATCCGCTCGTCTCCGAAGCCCACGCCCAACGCGCCCCTGGGCCGAAGGGGAAGCCCCGCCCCCGGAGAGGGCGAGTGGAGTATCTGCCCAGTCGCGCAAATCCCCTGACAAAGGAAAGCCCCGCCCTCCTCCCGCTGGCCCGGCCCCCTCCCGCCCCCGCCTTGTTCCAGTCCATCGGGCTCAGAGCCCAGCCTAAGGGCAAACGAATCCAGAAGGGGCGCCCCCGCCACCTCCAGTCAGCGGGTATGGCAAGGGCCACTCGGGGCCCCATCTGCTGGCAGGGTAGCGCGGTGTGGTGTGCTGCCTGTATTGCCCTAGGCTCCAGCTCTGCCACCAAAGACTGTCCCAATATCACCTCTAAGAGCGCGCCTTTTGAACACTCCAGCCTTAAATCCAGCACTTTCCTAGTGTCCCAAGGAAACTGCTCATGCTCAGAGACCAAGTTATTGGAAAAACTCTAGGCAGTTTACCTTGTCTCCCCCCGCTCAAGTATTTCAGGTCTCAGTCCATTCTCCCACCTGGTCTTCTCTACCCACAGACCTGAGTGGTGTCAATGATAAGCGGAATAGTGAAAGTGTGTGACCGCGCCCAAACACCTGCGGTCTTTTATTGCCTCTCTCATCCAAGGAAACCTGGGCTTCGTTGGGCTACATGAAAAGCATGGGTTGGTCTGTATCTCAAGTCTCAAAAAAAAAAAAAATTAGAGAAACATGCCTCACAACCCCATCCACAGTTCTTTGGTTTAGTCACCTGGTGGCTGTTACACAAAGAAGGTACAAAGGGCAACCTAGGAGACTGTCCCACCAGAGGCAGCTGCATCTCTTCAGAGATGCAATACTCTTGCTTCGTTTGTGATGGCCACTCCCTGATTTTATGAAAGGAAAAAAGAAAGCATTAAAATATCTGAATTACTGTTGGACCACATGGTCAATACAGACAGTAAAACTTAGGAAAAGTTAAATCTGCCCTTCATACAAATAGCAAATAAAGTCAGTAGTTAGTGTGTGGAGATCTGGCAGTGAAACTCTGAGCTGAGCCTTAAGCTTTACTAGGAAAGCCAGAGAGGTCCTTGGCAAAAATGAGATGTAGGCTGAAGCCTATGATCAGAATTAAGCACCTAAAACAACTTTTTCTGGCAAAATGTTTTACACTCCATTTCTCACTTCAAAAGAGGCTGCTGAGCAGTTCTACCCACTCAGATACAAAAGACTCCATCTGTAAACTGAAAGAGGGTGTAGGGAGACAGACCAGATTGTGTCTCCTCAGCCTTTCTAGTTTTAATATTCCTTAGTTCTAAAGCTTTTAAAGGGACAGCCCAGAATCCTATGACCTCCTGGTCATATACTGCAAGACAATAGAAACCCTGTCTTATGAAGAACACACATAGTAGCAAGACTCAAGAATGCTTGACCTAGAGAAGGCTCCAGGAGATGTGCTCAACATGAAGTATCTAAAGAGATGGGTCGTGGGAGGAAGGAAATTTGTTCTAATGTCTCCTTAAGCTGGTACACTAAGATCCAAGAGCAGATTTCAAACCAACAACGAGCTTTCTCACAGCTATTCAAAGAATAAGGTGTCACCTAAAAGGGTGACTTTCCTGACCCTGGAGTTATTTGAGAATTCAACCAATCATTTGGCAGAGGTTTGGGGTAACAGATTTACAAATCCTTTACAGTTTGTTTAGGATGAGTTTTAAAGTCCCTTGAGCTGACACACGGTGATCATAAGGATTGAACAGCTTACAGATCTGGTACTTAACAGTTCAGGGAACCCGTATTTTCATTTTATCTTGATTACTCAGTAGAACTGGAAAAACCCAGGGAACACAGATTAATTTCACTAGCAAATCTCTCTGGCCAAATACATTCACTTAAGTGTTGAGATATCATAACAGACTGTTTAGCATGCCAGGGCCACACTGGGTGGAAGAATCTGAGGAATTCTGGCTCTGGACTAAGGGTGGGTGGTTATTCTATTATAAAGAATGATTTGACGTGGAGTCACAACCTTCATGGCCAGAAATTCCTTCCTGTTTCCTCACCAAATCAGGTACCAATCAATTCAGCCTTTGCTTAATTAATCCCTCCTCATACCTAGTCACCTCATTTTATCCCTCTCACCAATGTTTCATATAAATAGAACATTCTAGCAACTAAGAAGTTTAGATTCAAATTACTTATCAGCTTTAGTCATACTCTAAAGTGTTAAGAAAAAATTGCAGAGAAACTCCCCAAAAGTTTAAACACAGCCAGCCTACAGAGATGACTACATATAGTTACCCTATCCTTTCATCCATACTCCCAAAAACTAAAACACAAAAACAAACCAAGAAACCTTCCCAAAACACAAAGCCAAAGAATGCTTCCTGAGGGCTTCCTTTTTATTTATTTATTTATTTTTGCGGTACTGAGACTTGAACTCAGGGCTTCATCTTGAGCCACTCTGCCAGCCCTTTTTAACGATGGGCTTTTTTGATATAGGGTCTCATCAAAAAAGGAAGCACAAGGTGTGTTTCCCCCCTTATTTTTCATCTGTTCATGAGTTTCTCTTTAGTTTCAGTAAAGTCTGCCAACAGCCATTTCAGTGACTGAAGTAAATACCTGATAAAACTTTCAGCCTCTTGATGCCCTGATAGCTATACCCAAAAAAGCATCTGTGTATTTTAGATGCCGTGTGCAAACTCTTAACAAGGGAGCGCCACAGAACCTCTTCGGATGCTTTCCCCACCCCTGAAACCACAAATATATTTGCTCCAGGCACAGTTCAAATTAGTTTCCACTTAGTTGATTACAAAACTCAAAGAATTCTCTACTCATTTTGAAATTCCTAGGAACAGAATTTGGTGTCAGATTTTCCTTCAGTAAACCAAGAAGAAAGAACTATCCTGGCTCTTCCAGATCCTTCCTTGCTGTCTTTCTAATTAAAGAAGGCTGGGTGGAGTCACCTCACACTTTAATATAGCTCCCTTTCCAAGTCTTGTACCTGGCATTTTGCCTTTGTCTGCTTCAGATCTGAACTGCTTGCCCATGAGGACAAGCTAGGAATCCCACACCCATTCCTTAGATTCTAAAACGCATTTTTGTCCATCTTGATGGGGACTCTCTTGCATGGTGGACTCATTCTGACTAGAAGAGAATACAGGAGACTAGCTGGCTCTTGCTCTTTTTAAATATACAAAATTCCTTTCATCTTAGGATAGCTAGACTTAACAAGCATTATTTAGTGGCAAGTGGAAACTTCACAGTATTAGCCTGTACCTGTTGGCATCAGTCACTACCATCCTTTGGTGCTTTTATTATTGTAAAGATGGGTACAGAGTGGCTTATAAAGCAATATAGCATGGTGTTGAGTTTGTTTTAAAGGGGAAACTAAGAATTTTGAAGCTACTTCAACTCTCATATATTTCTGAACCCAAGAGAAAACTTTCCACACACTCTGCAGGAACTCCCATGACCCCTGTAAGCCCTTTCCTGCTTATAGACTTCCCAAAAGACAACATGTTATTTCCTCTTTTTAGATTGATGGTTACCAAGACAGTGGTGATGACAAAAGCATAAAGGGCTTTGTAAATTAGAAAAGATCTGACAGAGGCAGAGGGAATCAGGGAAGGTT